AATTTAATTTAGAGAACGTTGACACTGACCTCCACAGCTGCTGGCTCTGAACATGTTGAACACTGAGAATTAATGTAGTATTTTTCATTAAGCGACACACAGGAGAGTGGAGGTAAGAGTGAAGGATCATTTTTAATGAAACGTTTAAAGCTCTCAAAGCAGCAGCTCCGTCTCCCACGAAGCAATCGGAGGAACTCTGTGGGGGATGCAGGCGTGGAACGATGCTCAACGGTCAAGCTGCAGAAACATGGAGGCCTCACAGATTATGAGGTGGTCTCGAGGGTTGGAAGCCCATAGAGGACGCAGCTGAAGGCAGCCGGAGAGAGAGGAGCCTCATCTGGGTGGACGAGGAGCTCCTGACCTGCAGGAGAAACGTTACTCAGAAGGAGACGAGCTTCATCTGCTCATGGTTCAGGTGAGATGGTACCTCGTGTTCCTGGGATCTTGAGCTGCGTCCCATCGGAGCCGAGACCCCCCCTCAGAGCCCTGATGGTCTGACCGGAGGTCTGCCTGGTCCTCATGGTGTCTGAAATAAACCATGATGATGATGATGATGCATGAGGAGAACATCTTGACGCTGTTTAAAACAACTGAAGGCAGAAGACATGAAGACTGTCGGACCCCGACTGAATATTTTACAAAGAACAATAAAGAATTATACAAAACTTTGGATTAGTTTTAAAACCAGGCGGAGATGGTCTCTGGTCTCTGGTCCAACACCTGACTCTGTTGGACCAGATGAAGAGCCCGGTACCACCTGATATAACCAACCAGAACCTGAACGGCCTTTGGTCTTCACATGCACTAAACGTGTGTCCCTAAGCTGGGCGGTGAACTGAGGTTCTGTGGGAGGACGGTGGCAGTGGATCCATGACCTGGGCCCACAGGACTGGACTCCAGTCTGACCAAAGGACTGTAAGACGGTCTCTGACCCAACCCGAACCGAAGCACGGTCCGGTTCTAAAGTTGGGGTGACGGCCCCACTGTGGGCCGCAGGTCTGCAGGTCATCTTTAGGACTTGATCCAACAAAGCCAGGTCCTCTGGAAAGTTTCTGTTTTTTTGTTGAAACGTCTCGTCTTTCATCCAGATGACTTCATCAGTCCAAGGAGCCACAACAAACTCAGACCCACAACAAAACTGTCCAGAGGACCTGACTTCACTTTGCTGGATTTTGAGTACTGCGCATGAACTTTGATGCTTTAGGACTTAAGTTCACAAACGTTTGGTTCAAGGGATGAAACGTCGAGTTATTTAAGGACAAACACAACGTTCTGTTGTTGAGGCTAAATGTTTTAACACAGCAGGGCTCGTGTCTCGGACGCTCCCACTTTGTGGGCCAAACATGGAGAAGTTTAAGAACCTCTGTGGTTGTAGCTGCGTCATGGCAGGACGTGGCCTGTGGTGTGGTGCACGTGTGGTAGCATCATGAAGCCACATGTGTACCGTCACGCTGAGGGTTTTCTCAGCGGACATGTTCCTGTCGGTGGTGTCACCTGGAGGAGCTGACGAGCCGCGACACGTTTGATTTTAGATTATTGATCAGGTGAGGAATATGGAACAGAAGAGTAGATCTGACTGACTGATTGATTTATTGATAGATTGGTTGACAGATTGATTGACAGATTGATTGACTGTAGTAAACGTACGGTCCAGCGCAGCAGCTAGAGTCCGTGCAGCGTGTTCAGGGCTGGGGGGCCACTGGTTGATGAAAATGGACCCGACTCCACTCAGACTCAGGAACAGAGCCGTCTCCACAGGGTCCTGCAGGACAAACCGACCCGCTCTGACAGGAGAAGAACCGAGACGTTACTCAGGACTGAGAGGAGAAGATGATCTGCACAAACCAATAAAACATTTTTACAACTAAAAGTTCCAAAAGTCTGCAGTTCAGGTAAGGCTTGGAGAAGTGAGAACATTTTTACCTCTTTCGCTTTTCGAGCTTTGACTGATGGAGACGATCCAGTTTGTCCTGAACCCGGTCGAAAAGTAGAACCAGGCGGCACTCTGAGAACATCAGACATCGTTAAATGATCTGAACCACTAAATGTCTTTCCTGGATCAAAGTTTGTCTCAGTAATTATCATTGAAGCGACGGTGGGTTCTGAGGTCTGGACACCTGTTCAGCTCTGGACCCTTGTTCAGATCTGGACACCTGTTCAGGTCTGGACCCTTGTTCAGGTCT